TTACTTTGCCACGACAATAGCATACATCAACCACACGATGGCGGTAGAGACTAAATGACTGTCCAGCCTTCAGCGTCAGCCGTCTCCTCTTGATAGCCTGCAACGTTTTTTTATGCATTGGTAGTGTTTAGATTAACATTATAAAGCATTGGGAGTTTTTATGTAACGTTTTCTTAGCTCTTGAAAAGTATGTGTGTTCTTATACAGGATGAATCTATTGCACGCAGCACATCATCAGCAAGTTTGATCTACTCATAAATTTTACATTACAAAATTGTCTTATCATGAAATAACTTAAAAACAGTTGTGGAAATGAAGATGGTAGCTTTATTGGCAATTGTTTTTGTGTGTATTTCAATATTATGACTATTTATTAAAAACATATGGATTTAAAAAAATATCTTGTTGCAAATAATATACTGTACTGTCACATTCAATTCTCCTTATTTTTTTATTGCTTTGTTGTCGCATTCATTGATACTTTTATTATTTATGCTTTACTAAAGCATAAGACAATGTGATTCTCCGAAAAAATTGAGAAATTAGTCTTCCAATTAGTCTTTGCATTGCATTGTCATTTGCCTACGTTATGCAGTAATAAAACATGAGCGTGACCAAATGAGACCCCAAAGGAAAAAATATATTTATAACAGAGAATACACACATCCTCATGTTATCAATATGCGGTCATTGTATCAATGATACATTTTTTATTTTTAATCCTCATTTGTTTTTACTGAATGTTGTTGTGTGTTTTTGTCATGGTCGACTTGGTTTCTGTGTGTGTGTGTGTGTGTGTGTGTGTGTGCGTGTGTGTGTGTGTGTGCGTGTGTGTGTGTGTGTGTGTGTGTGCGTGTGTTGTGCTGACTTTTCTATTGATATTTATTTGATTAGTTTTCATCCATATTACTTTCTCCTCTATTTTGTCCATCATACTTTCCAGTGTCAAAATGTATGTATTAAGTCTACAAAGTGTCAGGATGCACATAGCCATAAAAATAGAGTTGTTACCATCTCCATCAGAATGGCACTTGTGGTATTTTTTTGAATGCAATTATTTCATGACGTACGACTAATTGGGGGAGGCGGGGGGGGGGATTTGAACTAAATCAAAACAGGATTACAAATAAATAAATTGAATAGTGTTTTTGCTGTGACTGTCTTTTCATTCCAAAACAGTTGGGACTCGTACCACTCCGCCTATCTACAGTGTACATAATCAATGAAAAGCATCAGAATGATGTTGTGTATTCGATACAGGATATAATGAACTTAGATCAGTCAAACCCTGGCAGCGTGAGTTTCCACAAGTGGGTTGAATGTGCTGAGGCAGTGGAGCCCACACCCAAAGTGTTACAGCCTAAAACATGACATATGATGGGACACTTTCATACTCGGATCCACCACAAAAAGAAAACATGTGCATCTGCGCAGCAATTGCAATCACCAATGAAGCACGCTTCCAAATGCTATTTTATTAGGCAGCAATGCTGTTTAAACCGTTTTAAAAAAAAAAGTTGGATAAGCTCCAAATTTCAAGGTGAAAGAAATAGGAATTTGCAGAACCTTGTGTTGAACTCCAGCTTGAAATTATTATTCAAAATTATGTGTTTTGCGTTTTGGACTTTCTATTGTGTTTAGTTTTTATTTTGTTTCAGTTATTTGTTTTTACATTTTGCACTTCAGAGGCACCATCAGTATTTTATTTATTTCGTTCGGTGGTGTGCTGTGAAATGAGATTTCTTGATTGTTGTGTTTTGGCTCAAAAAAAGGTCTTCAGGTCTTGGGTTCAGATCTCGGCTTAACACACTGACTGCCCTTTTGCATGTGTTTTTCTTTGGGTATGCCTACTCTGGATTTATTCAACACACAAATACAGGGTTAATTGAAACCTCTGGCTTCCTTGTAGGTGTGAACAGTTGTTTGAATGTGCCCTTGTGCCCAGTCTATGCTGCTCCCTTCCTCTCACCCGTGATCCAAGTGGAATAGAAAATGGATGAAGAAAATATTTCCACAATGTGCACTCAACTAATATTACACCGAGTTTGAATCACAGTACATTACAAGTCTATGAACACTGAGCTTACGTCTGCGTTCATAACCTCTTTTGAGACTTTATGATGAATATAGCTCAGAAAACCCTCGATAGTGGATCACATTTTTTTTAACACTTGTTCATGTTAAAAAGGGTAAAATGTCTGAAATGAAAATAAGCTTTCCAAAACTGACAGAACAATACTTTGGATCTTCACATGGGTAATGGACAGAGTCCATTCGCTCTGTAATCTTTTTTTTTTTTTTTTTTTAAATATCTCCCCTCAATTGAGAAATTGGATTCGAAAGTGACCAAAGTCACAGTTAACACTGAGCAGCTACCTGGCTTCAAAGGGCCCGAGCAATAAGACTGGCCCAAGATGAAACAGCGATGCTCACGCATAAACACACACAAAGCAGCAAGAGATGGGAGATAGAGGCCTTGTCCGACAGCTGAGATATAGCACAAAGGCCCTGGGGAGTTTCAGGGGAATTCCACGGAGGGAATTGGACATGTCTGATTTACACTAACACTTTGGCTAAACTTGCGATAAAAGTTCACAAAAGAAACATTGCTGCATCTGTCTTGATCCATCTTACCCTCCGTCGGTCTCTTTCCAGCTCTGTTACTTTCCCTGCAAAACTTGCAAACGTTACATTACTATCGTGAAGCTGAGCGTCGTAAATTTATGATGCTATAGGAAATGAGAAAAAAAAAAGCAAGGACGGAGAGGGGAGAGGAGAGGAAGAAACACATGGGGAGTGAAAGAGAGTTGAGAGACGCTGAAAGAAAACATGTTCATTTTTTATCAGGCCTTTTCACCCAATGGGGAGTCGAGGAATGCAACGAAGAATCTGGCCAGAGATAAAGAGAGGAAAGTGGTTGGTACTGTACTGTACTATGTACGTGTGTGCGATAATGTATCTGACATTATTTTCAAGGGGGCGGGGGGGATATCAGGAGAGCCACAAAGAGAATTATACACTCACTGGACATTTTATTAGGTACACCTAAACAGTTCATTGACATCCATTGAGAGCTGCATAAAATAAAAATAAAAAATATACAGATAATACTGTTTTGATCGACACTGTCAGAGTTATTATTATTATTATGAATCTTGCAATGGTGGTTTAATGTGGTCGATGTGCAACTGCATCAGACTTCATTTTTTTTCATGATACTGTACATTAAAAGCGGGGAAATATAACAAACAGCTCCAGTATGATCTATTGTACTTCTAAAGCACTGCAAATGTTTGTTAAATATAATGCTTGTCTGACTGTCCCAGTCAAAATGTGTGATGCTTGGAAAGATGGAATATTTGACACAGCAAGTCCATCTAATGAGGTGTAATGTCCGGTTAGCGTGAATTAGATCTCAAAAGGAACCTCAAGGTTAAGGTTTGTTGTCCCATAGGCGGCGTTTGAAAAGTGTGACAGAGGAGCAGTTCAGCAGTTTGTGTTTTGGCACGTTAGTTTATGTGCGCAAAGACAAGTTGACGACATCGATTGCATGATCCGTAAATACAGAATGACTTAAACCTGAATAAATAAAGGACACCGGAGACAAACTGCCCTGGTGTTTACAAGCCAATAGAAAACATTTACACAGAGAGATCATCCTTATGAGTATAATATTTCACCGGTATTGATTTTTTACAGCTTAATTGTTATTACATGTCAAGGAAGAAACAAAAATAGTTCCAGGATACATTCGAATCCCCCACCCCCTCCCTCCTCCCCCGCTAAAAGAGTCACATGTTTCCCTCATGGAAAGCTCAATTCCCATGGCAAAGCAGAATTATTTACATCTTGACCAAGTCCTGGTCACAGAGCCAGTGTGACCCAACAGATATTTGAGAACATGCTGTGTGTAAAACACAAGGCCAAGTCCATGAATATTTACACCCCGCACACACAAAAGACTAATGCAATGTATTGTTGCCCCAAGACAAGTTGAATTTAAAAAAAAAAATGTTTACATCACAAAAATGACGACACACCTCACCATCATTTTTGTTTACATTGTGCGACCCAGGAAAAACACTAAAAAAGGCCGTCTGCAAATTATCCGTGACATTTCAGCTGTTATCCTTTTATACACATCTTCGATGACCCTTTTTTTTTTTACAGCATTGAAAAGGGTAAGAAGATATGTCGCTCCCCCTTAAAACCCGTTCCAGTGAATCAAAATAAATAAGTAGTTGAAGAGGAGCGATTTACACCAGCGCTGATGACACGAAAACTGAGGGGCATAGATTTCTTGGATCTGATCCGCACCTTTGACATCACTTGTGAGGAGGATGGAATAGCGGTGTTGTGACCAAATACTTTGGGGAGACTCCAAGTTACCACAGAATATTTTGGATGTGACCATTTTGTCATACTAAAATATACATTGCACAAAAAAAATATTCATTTGCTTCTGTTCTGACTGTCGAATTGATTTCCTAATCGATTGAGTTGGTCCAGTAGGAATCAATTGGATGATTTAGCCCACAGGTGTCAAACTCAAGGCCCGGGGGCCAGATCTGGCCCGTCACATCATTTTATGTGGCCCGCGAAAGCAAATCAAACATGTCAACTTCCATCATTGATGCTTGCTAAAATATTGCATAATTTCAAATTCTCATACGTCATAAATAACATATTGTAAGCATTTTCTTGTGACCAAAGTCCTCATCAGAGTCACTTCAACAGTCGTTGAATAATCCATTATTCTTGACTTCTTCATATGGTTTGACAGTCATAACGGCCCTCCAAGGGAAACGGTGACTCCAATGTGGCCCGCAACAAAAATGAGTTTGACAACCCTGATTTAGCCCAAAGAAAAATTCTGCCAAATGTGAGATGACGCAGATGAGTTTCCGCACTTTGCTATCTATTGCATTGGACTCTTAAGATCAGATGATGCAAATCTGCTGGCTCGGGTTTCAATTATTTCTTTGCGGTGCAAATTCTTCCCGCAATCATTCAATCGCTTTTATGCTCTTGGGTCAAAGTGTGGCTCGCAACGTTTTTCGGTGAAACTTGATTAATTGCTCAGAGTGAGTCATGGTAAGATCGGGCAGAAGCGAAGAATTTGAATCTTCATTATCAAGCACGAGGATCACTTGAACTCCAAAAAAGAACGGGCACGTGTATTTCGTGAGAGCACGTATTTGTGAGAAGGAAAGAAATGAAATGACCTTGGGAAACCTCCCCATGGACCGCGTTGACTTGGATGAATAAAAGTATCAACAAGATGCGTGCAAAGCTCCCGTTTTGCGACGGTGAGTGAACACAGACTCAGATGGCCATTTGGAGCTTGGAGAGGTTCCTCTGGTGCATGTTGTGGTGCCGCACCAACTCATCACTGCGGGCGAACTTCTTCTGACAGTTTGGCCAACGGCAGTTGAACGGCTTCTCACCTGAAGTGGGAGTGGAAGACATGCAAATAAAGGGTAGGGTTAGAAAAATCCCAGAACTTTTGCTATGTAGCCATGATTTTTGGCATGCACTATTAATCCGTTATGCTCAAATAACATCTTATTACATACTGCAAAAATGAAGATAGATGAAGTATAAAAGAAAAAATAAAAGTTTACGCACTTGTTTTACCTGTATGAGTCCGGGTGTGTGTCTTAAGGTGGTCAGACCGAGAGAACTTTCTCTGACACGTCTCGCATTGGAAGGGTTTAACACCTAAACACATGTACAATTTGCATGCGCGCAGTTGGGAGGTTCACACAAGTAAAAGCAATAGTCATCTCTCTCACACACACACACACACACACACGCACGCACGCACGCACACGCTCAGTGAGGAAGAAAGAAAAATAAAAGTAGAGCAAAGACTTGCAGGAAAGCTGATCCAAAGCTTTGCCAGTTTTTTTTTCAACCTCATCCAATGTCAGGGGCATCCAAACTTTTTCCAAGACCCGCAAACAGAAAAGTTAAGGATGCGGGGGCTGCTTTGACATGACTCACTTTTAGTTTCTTAAACATGTGTGTGCAAAGGCATACTCAACAAACACACACACACACACACACACACACACGCACACGCACACGCACACGCACACGCACACACACACTCACACGCACACCATCGAACAAGCAAAAACAAAAGAAAATAAACGTTTAAAAAGATTTGGTTTTTAAATTTTGTTTCAAAATATTTGATCCACACGTTGCCAATTCTGAGACTGTTCGAGTCTCTCTTGCATCCTGCTGTTGACTCTCAAAGCACAATGGCCATTTCCGTCTGACGACAATCTGTTTGAAGCCGATGACGAGGTGAGTCGTTGGTGACGAGTTGTTCGGTGTTGTCTTGATCTCACAATGTCAAAATGTTGGACAACATGAAGAAGTGGATTGACTGGTTGAATAACTATTCTTATTGAAGATTGCTCCACTATTATTGTTATTCATCTGTGCTTTATGAATGCAAGTTTAGTTACTCAGTGCTCGACTCCTTTTTTTTCTAATAGTGTCTTCAAACATTTTATCTGGACTTTAATTACGGTAGAGGAGGATGAAGATAAGAAGGCGAGTAAGAAATAAACTGACGACATCAGAGCCACTACAGTGGAACATGTCATCAACCTTTGGGTGAACCAGACCACAGGTGTCTTACTCAAGGCCTCCGGAGGCCAGATTTGACGCAAAACAGCATTTTATGTGGCCTGCGAAGGCAAATCATGTGAGTCACTTTCTATTTCTTGCAAATTTTCTTCACTTTAAACAACACCGGCATAGAAGATATTGCAAGTACTTTTTTGCTGCCAATCCCCCTGTAAAATACATTGAGAAATAGTTCAACAAATAATGATTTACTGCCTTCTGATTTCAAAACTAGTTATGCATGAATTTGTTGTGTGTATGTGATAATATAATGCGATCACACATTTAAATAGGTCCGCAGTCCTCACGGTGCCACAAGGGAAACCATGACTAAGATCAGGCCCATGACAAAAACAAGTTTAACACTCCTGACCCAGAAGGACGTCACAATGCTGACAGATATTTTTTTCTCTCTCCCTCCCTCGCTCTCCCTACGTGAAATTACTGAGAGTTTTTGGTGTGCTGTGAGTTTTAACACGGAAGCAAAAAGGACTGTTTGGTGTTTGTTTTGATGTGAACAGTAAAGACAGTACAGTAAACCCCTTGAATAAAAATCAGTGCAATTTGGCATCCCTGTGTCTTTACTTCAACTTGACATATAGCCGACTTTGTGTATCAAGAACGCAAAAGCCAGATGTGATTTTCATTCTTCCCATCACTGGCGCATTGTGGGCTTACGAATATGATGGCTTGTGTTCGTTGTTTTTTTTTTTTTTTTTTTAGAATATACTGTAGTTATATTACTGGATTAAAAAATACTGCTCTGGGGACAGATATGGCTTCTGGGTGGTACTTTGGACATGCCAAGAGACCACTTAGAGAAAACAATGCTTTTTATACATCGTGGCAGTCATGCAAGCAAGGCAGGTTGGAGCAAAGGGAGAGAGCAAAGAGAAGGAACAAGTGAACTATTGAAGTCAGGCGATAATCAAACCTGTGTGCCTCCTCTGGTGTCTTTTGAGCTGGTCAGAGCGAGAGAAGCCCCGACCACATTCTGCAACGTCACAGTGGTAAGGTTTCTCCCCTGGGCACAGACAAAGAGAGGGTGTTGAATGAGGGCATCACAGTACACACAGTTCCCCTGTACTTGTCTGTCTGTTTATCTAGAATTAACCAGTACACAGACTTGTAAAAGTAGGTATGCAGCTTTTGTTATTTATTCCGTGTGAATTAACACACGTCACTAATAGGATATGAAGATCACCCCAAAATGAGCATCCAATGATTGGGGTGAGGTCTGACATTCATGCTGGCGTACATTTCAACCCTTAAAATTAAGTAAGCCAATGCGACCTCTCAATTGAAACCATCCAAAGAGTGTAAATATATATAAAGTTTGCAATGCAAGGGGATTTTTTTTCTTTGTTTTTTTGTTTTTTTATACATATAACCTAATTAGTTAAAATTGTGTGACAGTTAAAAACTGCTATTTAAAACATTGCAAGTAAACTTTGGCATTATGGTGACATTTTTTTTATATATTTAGATTTTTTAACGACTTTATGAATATTTCCTTTTGACATTTTAATATAAATATAAAGAAATCAGAGGTTGTCCAGCCTCCTAGTCAGCAGGAGATAAGACAGCAAGTAGTGTATTACATAAGTGAAATTTAATGGAGAATCTATTATTTCAAGGCAATTCTGATTCGGGAATGTAAAACAAACCGATAATATAATGTATTATCACATAGCATTTACATTGATAGTTTTCAGGTTCATCATTCTTAGCATGAGTATCTTTTTACTATTATGAAAAAAACAAAAGCAATAAATGTAATGGCTTGAAAAAAAATATCTTGCCTGCATTTCAATATTTAGCTCTAATAAAAAGTTTGTGTGGGCCGCTTGCTAAATCGAACTGAAAAAAAGCATTAAAAAAAGTTCCTGCATACGATAACTTTCAATAGACTCTTGAATTTACCTGTGTGTTTGCGACCGTGCATCTGCAGATGAGACAGCTTAAAGTAACGCTTGTTGCACCCTGGGTGTGGACACATGAATGGACGCTTCTCGCTGTTCTCCGATCGAACTATTGCTGGAGCAATGCTGGGCACCCGCCTTACATCCTGCGCGCACGCACACACACGCGCGCACACACACACACAGACACACATTAACAAAACAAATTAAATGCCTCATACCTGTAAAATGAAGCACATAGACAATATGATTTATCTAATTTAATCCATTCAATTCACCAGACTAATCATGTAATTTAATCAGCCTTGCTCTCTTGGGATCATTAAAATAAAATGGTCATATTCTTTCCTTCTTTTCATTAGATAATAATTAGCTGTAAGGTGACCGCGATTTGACTGCAGCCCAATGGGAGCTGTTAGTCACGCCTTTTAGACAGACGCCTTTCCCAGAGTGCCTCATTAGAAGCCCGCTGCTCACTGCTAATGCCCTGTGGAGGAGAGCCACAGGAAATGACTTCAAAAACACAATAATGGTTGAACAAAAACCTTAATTTTTGCTGATTTGAAGAATAAAGCAAGACCTAGCTTTTGTACTGTTCTGCATGTTGTTTCGAGGAGTGGCGTTTTCTCTACTTCCGTTGTGAAACCTGCGAATGTTACATTTGTAACATATCCTTCCTAGTTTCCTTTTCGGCCTCTGATCCAGTCGCAAGAAAATCAATTAATGTGGCAAAATTATGTAGTTTTTATAAATTGTGACGTAATCATCATAAAAGCCACGATACATTTTATTTTCATCCTGAGCCACTATGGGAACAATGCCAGCTTTGCATGCAGTACCTAAGTGAATTTTATTGTATTTTATTTTCAAAAACATTGCACTGAATTGCGAACAGAAAGAAAAAAAATAGGTAGCGACTTCAGCTTAGCCCATTATCCTGGAAGGCCATGCCAGGTCCAGTTTCTAAACTGATTTCGATGATGGCTGATAACCAATCAACACTGTAACATGGCCGTAACATGATGGTTCCTTCCAAAATCTGGAGATGAAATGTGGGCCTGAGTGCAAGAACATCCAGAGGTTTGGACAGTGCAATACTCTGAACAGCAGAACCCCAGCCATCTTTTTGGTCGAAGGACATTTTGGCGAGGAAATCAAACAATTTTAGAGAACCTTGTGCAATAGAAAGTCCCGTCTCAGTGCTCCAACCAGTTTGATTGTCAGAAATAACCAACTTGGTGAAAAATCAAAACATACATACATAAAGCAAAAATCCTTGGCTGATCATGTTACAAGGAACGCCGTTTACCATAGCATGAATTACTGCTGGCACTTGTTAGCCCAAAATACGCAAGTATGCATCATGGCAAGTGTGTATGTGACCCTGAAGCCAAAGATGAAAGCCCACTGACAAAGATACTGACTTTTTGTTGTTGTCACGAGACAGACACAGTCCTATCCTGTGAGTGTGATGGCTAATTCCTAAAAGTCATCTACCATTCAAGTGTTGACTGTAAAGGTAACAGTTAGCTACAATCAGGACAGAAACATTCAATACCTGATCTTGGCATGGCTCAGAGTCTGTCTTGCCACACAAAACACTCCTATTCTGCTCAGGAGCCTTCAATTTTATCAAATGCCCGTCCGTGCGCCCTGAAGTCAAAACAGCACCCCTCCTTCCCTCTGTGTTTTCAGTCCTTGGGGGAGTGCAGCCCACCTGCATGGACTCGTTACAATGTTGGTATAAGGGAAATGTGATGATAGTTGAAGGAATTCAGTTGAATTCAGTCCTTGGTTTGGATGAGCCTCTAAAGATTGGAAAAGAGTATTACTGATCTGCCCGTTGATTAAAAAAAAATACTAATCTAATTGGAAAGGGTAATGATCTGCCAGAGGGGACAGTAGAGCTAGCTGTGCCGTTTGTATCGGGGATAGGGGGGACCATGTTCCTGCCATGCTTCTTTGGCTGTCCTGCGCAAACTGTAAATTGCATGATAAAGACTGTTGTATTTGGCCATGGTTAATTCACAAACTCCACCGTTTAGGTCGCTGTTGCGCCTTTCAGAAAGACCAGCGAGGAAGCCACCAAGTTATGTCAAGGAGCAATGAGAATCAAGAAAGAATGGGGTGAAAGGTGACGGAATCCCATGCTATTTTTCGCTAGTGAGTCCAAAAGATCAAGAAGCCTGTTAGCAACTTACGGTTAACCTCGCTTCTAGAGGAGGACTCTTCGGGTGATGATCATTCATAGACTTAACATTCATACTCACCTTCATTGAGGAAAGAAGTTTTCCTTGATCCTCGAACTGAATACAGAGAGATGACAAATCTAATCCTGTTGCTAGCGGTGTGATCACTGCGCATTGAGCACCACACAAAACTGACCTAAATCAGATGGATCATTCATATTGAGACTGTATGCCACCAATTGTTATACAACACAGTCTCCCACCATTCTGATACAGTCCACTACTCTACTCTACTGCACAAAGGCAGCAATGACAGTCATAGTCTAAACAGAATTCTTGAGAGGGAAAATGAGAGGGAAATGGCAAATATTGCTCATCACAAGTACAAAATTAGAAACATCATAAAGCATAGTTAGGCACAAAGTTCATCACAAGCATCACATGGTCAACACTTAAAGCAGGAGCACACAATCTGGGCAAGTGCAGTGACATTTGTGTTGCAGGTCGACTGCCCTGTTTTAATTGTGATATAGCACTGTAATTGTATATTCTCATGCGAGCGTGTACGCTTGACTCCACCTCGACGTTTACAATTTTCATGTTCTTATAGAGTATGTTCTCACTGAGCATAAACAAGTGACATGAAGTGAACTTAAAAGTTGAAATGCTGAGTCTGCAGACAAGCATACCTGTATTCCCCTGAAGACGCCATGCGTGTGTATGCGGTACTGTGTGCTGCAGCTGTACACCATGGGGGCGCTGGGGTCACTGTCGTAGCCTCCTGTGTGACTGACAATACACAAATAGGCAAGCCGTGAATTAGGATGCATAACTTTTGGAAGAAAATCACTTGGACCAATGAAGGTAAAATGTCAGTTATAGACACAGCACACAAAATGAATGCGCAACTATAAGATCTGTGGTCTGCCCTCTGTGGAACCTCCAAGAGGACAAGGAAGAAAAAACAAGGTTGAAAAAGAACTGTTTGATTCATGTTAATGTACTTCCAGGTCCAACCATTTGCATGATTTTCGGGTACATTAATCATGGAATGAAGGATAGAGTACAGAGACAGACAACAACCCCCACTCACATTCAGAATCTTCAGTGAATCTAATCTTTGTACAGTGGGACGAAGACTGTATGTGAAGAGACCCACACACGCACAGGAATTACATATACCACACAGAAATGACTCATTATATAGATACCGTTGATCAAACTCGTCATCCTTCAGCCATCACCTTACCATGGTGGATGAATTTGTGTCTCAGTGACCTGAGGAGCTCAATTGTCGTGGACTTTATGTCCATGTTAAGGTCACCCAGGGCAAGCAAGTTCTCGGTGAGGGACCAGACAAAGCACCGCTCAGAAACATAGAATGAACGAACGAAGCAGAACATGTTTTCGTTGGCTCGGATGGTGACCAGTTTGAGAGCCAGGCCTCAAGTTGGAGTTCAATGACAAAGGACCTGCTGTATGGCCCTGCACCAGCTTCGGCGGTTGCCGAGGCAAAAACTCGGGCGTGGGACAAGTTTGGTGAGGCCACGGAAGCCAACATCCGGATGGCTTTGAGGAAATTCTGGTCCGCTATTCCGATGTCTCAGGAGGGGGAAGCAGTGCACCACTAACATTGTGTACAGTGTCAATGGTGCATTGCTGACCTCAACCCGGGACATTGTGAGCCCTTGGGCGGATTATTTCGAAGACTTTCTCAACTACATGCCTTCCTTAGAGGAAATAGAGACTTGGGACTCTGGGGTGGCCTCTCCTATCCCTTGTTGAGGTTGAAGTCACCGAGGTGGTTAAAAAGCTCCTTGGTTGCAAAGCGGGTGGATGAGATCCGCCCGGAGTTCTTCAAGGCTCTGGATGTTGTGGGGCTATGCTGGTTGACACGCTTCTGCAACATCTTGTGGTTATTGGGGAGAGTGCCTTGGGATTGGCAGGCCGGGGTGGCGGTACCTCTTTTTGAGAAGGGGGACCAGAGGGTATGTTCCAACCTCAGAGGGATCACACTCCTCAGCCTCCCTGGTGAGGTCTATTCAGAGGGGCTGGAGAGGAGGGTCCGTGAGGAAGTTGACTCTCAGATTCAGGAGGAACAGTGTGGTGGAACAGTGGACCAGCTCTACACCCTTGGCAGCGTCCGTGAGGGTGCATGGGAGTTCTCCCAACCAGTCTACATGTACTTTGTGGACTTGGAGAAGGGGCTCAACAGTGTCCCTTGGGGTGTTCAGCGGGAGGTGCATTGGAGGTATGGGGTTCCGAGCCCCCTAATACAGGCTGTTCTGTCCCTATACTACCAATGTCAGAGTTTGCTTCGCATTGTCAGCAGTCAGTCAGATTCATTTCCAGTGAGGGTTGTACTCCCCCAAGGCTGCCCTTTGTCACCAATTCTGTTAATAAATTTTATGAACAGAATTTCAAGGTGCAGCCGAGGCGTTGAGGGTGTCCGGTTTGGTGGTTTCAGTATTGCATCTCTGCCTTTTGCAGATGATATGATGCTGTTGGTTTCTTCAATCTGGGATCTCCAACCCTCAGTGGAGCAATTTGCAGCCGAGTGTGAAGCGGGTGGGATGAAAATCAGCACCTCCAAATCTGAAACAATGGTCCTCAGTCAGAAAATGTTGGAGTGCCCTCTCTGAGTCGGGGATGGAATCTTATCCCAAGTGGAGGAGTTTAAGTATGTCTTGTTCATGAGTGAGGGCAGGATGGAGCGGTAGATCGACAGGCAGAGCAGGACAGTGTTTGCTGTGATGCAGATTTTATATAGGTTTGTCGTGGTTGAGAAAGGAGCTGAGCCCAAATGCGAAGCCCTCACTTTACTGGTGGATCTATGTTCCTCACCTTTGGTCACAAGCTATGGGTCATGACCGAAAGAACGAGATCCCGGATACAAGCAGCCGAAATGAGTTTTCTTCGCAGGGTGTCCGAGCTCTCCCTTAGAGATAAAGGTGAGAAGCTCGGTCATCCGGGAGGAGCTATGATTCGAGGTGCTTCTCATCCACATCGAGAGGAGCCAGATGAGGTGGGTTGATTATCTGATTAGTATGCCTCCTGGACACCTGGTGAGGTGTTCCGGCCATGTTCCACTGGCAGGAGGCTCCAGGGACGACCCAGGACATGCTGGAGAGACTATGTCTCCTGGCTGGCCTGGGATCGCCTTGGGATCCCCTGAGAAGAGCTGGAAGAAATGGCTGGGAAGAAGGAAGTCTGGTCTTCCCTACTAAAGCTGTTTCCCCCACGACCCAACCCCGGACAAGCGGAAGAGAATGGGTGGATGGATCGACGGAGTACAAAAAAGTATTCCTGTTATAATTAATGTAATACTTGTAATGAGTACTTCACACGTTTGGGCTCATAGGAATGCAGAACTTTTCTTCTCTGTTCTTTTCTGTGTTTTATTCTGTTGACCACCCAGCAGTTGAATGGCTTATCATCACAGCACATCACATGTGGAAGATTGGAACAACACTTTCATTGTGAGACACATCTGCAAGAGTAACCTTCAACATCTTCTGATAACTTCCACTGCGAGAGCTCTTGCTTTTGAAAGGTGTGTATTTCCATCTATTTGCAAGCAAGCAGAATCTTGTATATGCATCTGCTGAACTGTCAATGTCACCATCATAATGTCTTTACACCTGTGATTGTTGAAATACAACCACAGCACAGTTTTGCAGGTCCCAGTCGAATGATGTCAGAACAATGGTTCCTTTTATCAGCCAAAATAAGGTAATTATAATATTAAAAACAACTCCCAGTATAAGATGTATTGCAGTTCGACACTGCTGCAAACCGCAAGCACCATATTACAAATGCGATATCTCGCTCACAGTGGTATTCAAAAGTGATTCGCACTGTCTTTGTAAAATTGGAACTTTGGGTACATCTCTTGCATTCAAACTAATTGCATTGTGCCAGTGTCTACTGAGAACCACCTGAGATAACTCCATCCTAAATCAACTATAATTCTATAATATACATATCATAGAAATATAATACAGCAGCTCGAGCCTTAAGTTTAATGCACTCACAAATTCACAAACTTACATGCAGCTTGCATGTGTTTGTGTGACCTAAACTCAAGCTGTGCTCAACTCCCCAATACTTCCTCTTCCTCCTTAGCCCGATCCAGTTTCTCTTTATCTCATTCTCTACCATCGACCCCCACCTCTTCCTCCCTCTCATCTCTTCCTCCTCAACCTTACTCCCTCATGCTTTGCTGTGTCACCGATTGACAGAGCAGTAGAAATGAAAAGCTTGATACAAGACATTTTCATAAAACTTTCATCATGATAAATACACATCAATACACTGGAAAGTAGACCGCTGGGAAAAAAAAACAACCCAATTACTTCTTTCTTCTACTCTTTCATGAACGCACACAACTTGATAAGGGACATACACTTGTACACATGCACCCCTGCCCCCCCACACACACGCATGCGTTCATTTGCTATGATGGATGCCTGCTGACTCGAAGGCATTTGCAGGTCATGATGACACTACAGTAGCACAGTGTGGGTGGACCTTTGAACTGCATTTGTTATACTTTTTTCTTTTTTTTTTTTACTAATTTTGTTTCTACTTGCATATTTGGGCTTCAATGTGACCATGAAAAGGGGTGATGGATGCAGCAGCATTTCAAAAACTGGACATCAGGATTCTGATGTAGGAAATTCAAGTATTAGTTTGTCTGTCAGAGTTTACTTGACGAAGCAGGAAGGCAAAGACACAGCAAACCAGATTACAAAACTGGAAGCACGAGGAACACAAAACAAATAGGCCAAAGCCTGTTTGCATTGGAGAAAGTGACCGGACAGCTGTGAGCTCTGGATCAATTTGCATTTATATTAGTTGTATTTTAGCCCTGAAATAAAATAATTTTTAAAAAGCTGAAGGAGAGCAGTGGAAAATTTGTGACTAATGGAGAAGGCAAACTACTTTCTTGGGTGATCTCAACTATCCCGTTCATCCCGTATGATACAAATGGACTTTGTATGGTGACTTGGCATTTATCACTCTGATCCAAGTATAGCGGAATGTCCAAGGTAAAATGACCCCAAAATGGTTTGATTTGAAGTCTGACCAAAGTCACGTGCGACGTCAGCATACACCACAATGTGAGACTAAGGTTCAGTGAGTTAAGTATGACAATGATGAGAAATACTGTGTTGGATGATGACCATTAAAACATAATGGAATTTAGAGATATACTGTACATCTTTGTCCTGTGCAAAATGGCTACAGCAACAATAGATTGACAAAAATATCAAGAGAAGAAGAGAGTACAAAAGAATAAGAACAGTAATCGAATGTGACTAAGAAGTCAGCTATCTATGTTTAGGGCCCTATTTTAGGAGACTGGCACCCATGCGCTCGGCGTAAAAATGGGAGTAGCTTCATTTCGTGCTGGTGCAAGTTTAGTCTACCATGTTTGGGTCCGTGTTGCATCTCTTTGGGCATTCTAGCACATGGAATTGCCTTGCCCCCCACTCAATTTGGGAACAGAAAGTATTCTGCCCTCGGCATAAAAACGAGCGTATCATCATTTTCCTTCCGGGACAGCGTTCTAGTTCAGCGTGTTTATGAATGTGGTAGACGCGCCACGCCTCACTGGGCAATCCACCATCTGCAAATGTGGTTACAAATTCAGTGCGCCACGGATGTGTATGGTGAACTAATTAGAATCATTATCATCTTAAAATATATTAGCACCCTCGTCACTATTGTTTGGTGGGAGGTTGTCACACACAGCCACATGATCGGGGGTGCAAACCGGTCTCCAA